GCACACAGGTTCACATACATGCACCCATGTGTCAATAATGATGTAGCATGTACGTGGTTTCACAATATGAGCTGCAATGTGAACCTGAGCTGAACCGGAGATTACAGAGGCTAGGGCTGCGTTGTGGTGCTCAGTGAGGTTGCTAACCCATTCCTTAGCAAGACTCAGGTCCAGGCAGCAGACTGACCCTCCATTAGGAACCACGGGCAAGGAGCTTGTAAAATCTACAGACCTTATGAAAATGAACCCTATTGACAGCAGCCAGCTGTGTCAGGCTTCTTACTGTCTCTCCTGATTTGCTCTTTCAAATAAATGGATGTGGTAGAGGACATTAGAAAGTAAACAGAATCATATTTTCTTTCTTACAGTTATACCTCAGTAATAGCCCTGGGTTTTACAGCTGAAAAATATATGTTTACTCGCTCATTAATTTCCCTCTCTTTCCCTTGCCTTTTCTTGGCATTGCGGAGAATGTTATTTAAAACAAGACCCAGTTAAACTTCAAAAAAAAAAAATTCTACAAAATACAGCTTGGACGCATTTACTAGTGATTTATCATCTCTGAGACACTGGGGTACTAGGGTACCAATATCTGTATCTGGCATATTTTAATGATGTATACTGTGTGGTTGTGTTGCCATCAAGGTACAGGAAAGCAGCATCCTTTCAGACCCAGATAAGTGACTCAAGCTGTTTTGACATGAGGTAGAAAATATTAAATGTGGCATATACATAGAAGCTCAATGATAACCTGTCTTCACCACTTTCCTTCAAAGTTAGCATAGCTGGTGATGGAAGAGTGAACTCCACTCTTAGATAATCTAAGAGATGCTTGAGAGTCTCCATTTCCATACTAAATGGGTCTTTTTTTCTCTCTTGGGCTTTGAAAAAGCTTTGGTTTTAATTGTATCCCATTTCCTTTGGGCAAGTGGGCAAATAAGGATATACCTATCTCAGTGCCTGGCGCATAGTAGAAACACAATAAATATTTGTTGAATGAATAAATAGTTAAATGGAATGTTATAGTCCTTAATGGTATTATTGTCTTGGCGTGAAACATGCAAGAATAGACTTGAGGCAATTCTGTCATTTCCCTTAACAGTACAAGCTAATTATTTGAGAGATGAAGATCTACTGCATAGTATTTGTCAGGTCCCATTTGCTCCTAATTAAAGATGAAAAAGTTGTTTGTAGCATTGAAGGAATAACATTGTGGCCCACTCCTAAACAGCTTGTCAATTTTCCATGATACTTTTTCCAGAAAAAAAAAAATGTATCAAGATGAAGTTAATGTACATGCCTGCCTTAGGTTCATTTATGTTTTCTTTCTTCTGTTAACATTTTTTGGAGGGCAAGCAGGATGTAGAGCAGGGAGCTCTTCAGATGGTCCTTGTATAGCCCATTATTCTGCATGATTTCTGCTGTCAGTTTTGCTGACCTTAATTGACTGTATTCTCTCATACAAGTATGAGCTTCAGTGATCCAAGATGAAAATGCTGCATCCTCCTCATAAACCTCAGAAAATATCATTTATTCATGTGTACATGTATTCCAAAAATATGAATTTGATGTTCACTATGTCTCAGGCTATTTGCTAGTAGCTTGAATCTAACTGAGTAATATCCAACGAAACTCCTTCTTTGATGGAGCATACAGCCTGAAAACGTTAATGGAAAGTCATTGAATTCTAACTACAAACTGAATTTTAGAAAGAAGAATATGGTTTTACTAGGATCAGGTAACCACAGGAGTTGAGTTAGATCAGACCAGGGAGAGTTTTACTGAGGAGGACCTGGAGCTCAGATCTATAGAATGTCTGAAAAACGGGAAGGAACATTCTTGGCAAGAAGTATTTCACATGAATGGCCTGTATGGCCTGCTTGGGAAGAACAAGGACCGACGGGAAGCCAGGACCACACTCAGAAATGTCTGTGCATAAGCCATAATAAGGCTTTGACTTCCATCCTCTGAATAGCAGAAAACCTAGAAGTGTCATATACCCAAGGCTTAGGAAGCAGAGGCAGGGAGAGATAGGTGGACCTCTTCAGGCCTCTCTATATTTTGGATAATATAAGTAACCCTTCTTTGCAAATACAAGGGAAGCCATCAGATTCAATCCTGAGTAACTGCCACAGTGGAATAGTGCTTCCTGGAAATTCTTACCATCCACCCTTCCCTCTGCCAAATTTCAGAAAAACTGTTTTGGCTCTCTACTTAGAGTGCCAAGTGACACACACACAGGCTGCTGCTGGATTGCACAGCTGTGGCCTTGTCAATTTCTCTAGACCATTCTCTCCTTTCTGCTCTTCCCTTTCAATGACAGGCAGTGACAGAATACATTTATTCCTTTTTCTTATTTGCAAAGTGTGCACAACATGACTTCCAGGTCCTTCTCATCCTTTCTCAAAGTAGTTATGGAGGCAGCACATGGGCTCACGTGGCTTAGCCTCTCTCTAGCCCTACAGGATTGCTCTGAAGATTAGGTGTGTCAATACTTTTGAAGCCTGAAATGAAGAGTGGCACATGGTGACTACTCCATCATGCCAGCCATTATGATTTGCTCTTTTTGTCAATATAGAAAACTGTCCAAGATCTGTTGTTACCGTAAAAAAACAAACTGAAGACTTAAAACTATGTACCTTCGTAGGGGTCTGCAGAAATGTTTTCTCATAAGTGCATAGGGACTGTTTGAGAACTCGGGGACTTCCATTTGAGAAGTGGAACTGGGAGCAGGAGGAGAGTCACGTGAATTTCACTTTTCATGCAATTGATTTTTTTCTATGCCTCTACATATTTTTATAATAATAAAATTATAAAGAAGGGTTTAGAAAATCCATTGATACTATCTAGCATGCCAGTTTTAAAGAATACAATGATTTCTGCATAATATTTTTCATAATTTTCTTTATTTTCAGTTTGGAGATAGAAATTTTCCTGGGGTAAACAAACATATCTGCAATTGTTTAATTTTCTGCTTCTTTTGATTATGTTATATTCAAATAAAAGTGTTTGAGACCACATGCTATTAGGATTCCAGTGTAGTAAAATTACTCCATTTGTTCTTCTACCTCTTGCATGTGTATGTGGGGAGTTGTCTGGAATGCTGTTTACCCACCAAATGTAAACACATTTGGTTCTTTTGTTGCTGACTTCATTGTACCTTCAAGCAGTCTTAACTTTTTTATAATGAGCATTTTTATAAAAACAATTAAATCATTTTTACGATTTGAAGATGAGGAATATTGGTTCACTTTTCTAATTAGTGGTAAACAAAACACCTAGCCCATTTTCCCAGGGATTTAGGCAGTCTCCCACCTTAGGATTATCATGGTGAAGGTCAGTGGCTGTTTGCAGTAGTCTTTGTCCATGAAAAGGAAGCAAGTGCACTTACTGGGGACTGAATCAGGGTGTAAGAAATGTTAAATGATTATAATCACTGGATATAATGTAATCTGCAAAGACCCCACTTTCCTTATAAATTAAGCCTCTTTGTTTAACTAAGAGATTTTGATTGGCTAGTAATTATCAAGTTTACACAGTTGCAAATCCTAAGGTCAGTACAGAGCAGACCATGAATGCTTTGATCATCATTTAAATACAATTCTTCCTTTCTGTTGTGATGAAATACCATTATCATTGATAGAATAAGAACACAAATCAGGAGAGAACTTTGAGTCCCTTAGTAAATACTTCCTGAAGCCACATGAGCATGCCAACTAGACTCTCACTTCTGGGGAAGACACATTTCCAAGGAGTGACTGATTTTGCAATAGTGAGCACATCATGCCCCTCAGGAAATAATGATAGTTGTCTTAGCGCAGAAAAAAAAAACAATTTTGAAGAAACCAAGACTAAACTGACTATTGAAAAACTGTGCCTTGAAATCAGGAATGACATACAGAGGTGTTGAATTTGGCCCCCTGTCTAATTTTGCACAGTTCATGTCCTAGAAATATTTTTGACAGTTTTAATAATTAAAAAAATAAATAAAAAGTAGAGTAGCACCTTGTGTGATGTGAAAAGGACATGATACTCAAAGCCCTATTCCTAAATAAGTTGCACTATCCCATGTACATACTGTCTACAGCTAGTTTTACATGAAAAGGACAAAGTCTAGAAGTTGTCAAAGAGCTGCGACAGAGACCCTGAGGCACACGTGACCAAACAATGCATTATTTGATTCTCTATTTAAAAAGTTTGCTGCCCCTACCTTACATTCAGAGGGCACTTATTTGTGTATTTATGTATATATCTCTTTGCTTGTTAATAGATAATGCTTTTGAGTTAGAAAGATACCTGGCAATAGAAATATACCTGTTCAATAATAGTCAAAGAAATGCACTGCTCCATATTCTTCTACTTTCCTTAGTCCCTTTCTGAAGTCAGAAGAAAGTTGTCGTGTGAGAAAAAATTTGTTGGATGGGAATGCAAGAGAGCTCATGGTAACAAGATGAAAGGACCTTAACATTGCCTGCAGAAGTTAAAGATACTAACCTATTTTGTTGCCCTAAAATAGCAATACTGTTCCTGGAGTCTAAGATTTAAGTTACTTGCATTCAAAAAAATCTTTGCAAGGAGAGTTTTTGTTTTGTATTTTTCTCATTACCTTTTATACAACACAGTGCAGATAATATAGGCCATTTATTGAATAGCACCATCATGTTGAATGGTTCTAATTGGTTTAAACTTGCATTTAACTGTCAGTAGAATATGATGAACAAATTGAACAGTAGGAAATACCTTTTAGTAGAATATCCAAATCTTGATGGATCTCCCACTCATCTGCTTTGACAGTTGGATTAATTAATATTTGTGACTAACATCAATTCTCTTATTACTGCAGTAGATATGAAAATATGAAATTAATAATGCCAACTGCTACCACTGAAATGTTAACAATTGTACCATACAGTATTAGAACTGAATAAGAACTGTTTTTATTCAAAACCCCTGTTGTGCACATGACCTCAGCTGTCATCTCCTGTTTTCTTCTGTTTCAGAGGTTGAAGGCTGCCTTGACTCATCACCCTGCTGCCATGTCAAATGGGAATATGAACACCATGGGACACATGATGGAAATGATGGGCTCCCGGCAGGACCAGACGCCGCACCATCACATGCACTCACACCCGCATCAGCACCAGACACTGCCAGCCCATCACCCTTACCCACACCAGCACCAGCACCCAGCACACCATCCTCACCCACAGCCCCATCACCAGCAGAACCACCCACATCATCACTCCCAATCCCACCTTCATGCCCACCCAGCACATCACCAGACCTCGCCACACCCACCCTTGCACTCCGGCAACCAAGCACAGGTACACCCTTTTCATGATCTCCATCCCCCTATTGTTAATAGAGAAAATTCTTAATCGGGAGTGGAAGGGAGGGGTGTCACTGACAGCAATCTGGGAAACTCTGTTAATTTCCTAGGAGGTAATGGCTACCCATGGGACTGGCAGCTTTTAATTTCCATAAAGATGGTAAATTTCAAGCCTCATTTCTAAGGATAGATATAAACTTCAAGTTCTCTGAAATCTATTTGTGCACTGTATTACAAACTGAAGTCTACTAAAGTAGTAAAAAGGTAGGGCTAGAGAGAAATTAGCTTGTGAAGAAAGATGTGAATAAAAAATGAGAAAAATAAGTAAATTCTAACCATGGCTCTAACTATGGTGTTTTATAACATCATAGAGATTCAATTTTGGTCACTTGTAAAATGGCAGGTAAATCATGTGAGTTACGAAAGTTAAGAATCTAAACAGTAACAATTCTAGGCAGACAAAGAGGCTCGGTAATGAATGTGAGGGCCTAAGGTGCTGTGGAAATGGTGAAGAAAGGTGACTCATCCCACCCAATGTGAAATGCGTTGGAGGAGCAGACAGAGAGCCAAGTTCTGAAGATGATCAGTTCAAGAGAAAGGCCAAATCCCAGGGGTGGAGAGTCACCAGGAGTGGCTAAAGAAAGCCGGTATTTAGACTCAACGGAATGAGGGTTGGGGGACCAGGCAGACATTATGTCACCCAGGCCAAGAGAGGCGGGTCCGTGTACCAAATTTGCTTGAGTAAGTGGATAAAGGGCATGTCGAGAAGCATGGCTGGCCCTTAGAGCTTCAAGCAGGATGACCGCCATCGGTCCCCTCCACCCATCCCACGATGCCAGGTTCCAGCTGGGTCAGAACGGTGTCTGAAATGTGGACCCGCCAAATAACACTTATTCACTGTCTCCTAGATGGGTGCCTCTGGATGTCACACCAAACAGTTTTCAAGCTCTTGAACCCTCTCTCTAGCCCTCTCTTTTAACACGTAGCAAGCCCAAATAGGCACTCACATATGGTCACTCACAAGCAACTCTCTTAATTTATTCAGTGGATAAGCTAATTCTTTACATGAGTTTACTTTTTGCCAAAGTTCTCAGAAATGCTCTGATGACAACACTTCAGAGTGAGAAAACTCTAATTTCCCCCCACCTTCCTTGCTGTGATTGTGGTCACTCTATTAACTTTCCTCAGTATTTCCATCTACCAGATGGGCTAATGAAAGACTCATAGACTCTCTGAGTATTAAGAAAAGAATCTCTAAAAGCACTGTATTCAGTACTTGTTATCCATGATTAATTTTAAATCAGTATAATAGAAATTTAGCAAGTAATTTAGCAATAAAATGCTTTCCAAAGCACCTTTTTAGCCATCTGCTATAGTAGGACATGAATTTAGAAAAAAGAAATTAACTACAAATGATAGGCAAATATATTAACACGTGCACATATTTTTTAAGGAAAAGGATACTATTATGTTTTGGTTGCTTTGTAGGCAAGTTACTTCACAGTCAAGTTTAACAGTTCGTTGACTATAAAAGCTATTCATTAGGTAATTACCAATTAGCCAATTGCCCTCCATTTTAAGTCAGTAAGTGGCCAATTGTATAAGCAATTAGTTAATTGCTAATGTAATTAGCTGTGCAAACAATTGCTTTTTTACCCTATATTAAAGACAAAAAAAAATCCAAGTGGTTCTTGTTAAAATCTGAGCAAGATCATTTAGACAATATGCAAAAATATTGATCATATACTGTATTAACCTGGTTGATTACTGAGATAGTGTCATGTTGCTTAAGTATGTGATTATCAGAAGAGTAGGAATAGAGGAATATTTTAGATCTTTCCAACTCTGAGATTAAGGTGACTTGGAATACATTATGTATTTTTTTGAAATCATGATTTTCAGTAGATCTATGTCCACAGAATTTCATTTTCAAAATAAAACTGAAGTTACAATAAACACCAAGAATACCAGTTGTAATCTCAGGGTTGCATTTGAATTTCTCCTGACTTTTGTGATTCTCTTGCATATAAGTATATGATTTCAGAGTCCTGGTATCACTTCCTGGTCACCAGGAATTTCTCTTAAACAAACCAAATCTCAAGTTCTAAACCTGGACTGAATTTGAAACCATGACATTATTTACCTCCTAGGGTGAAGGCACAGAAGAGCATCAGAAGAAAATCCTCATTGAAGTTAAGGAAAGAGGCTATAGTATGAGGTCCCTAGACTCCTTAAAGAGCCCTGTGGAAGGCTGGAGATAAGAAATCACAAATTCACAGAAAGAAATGGGAAAGGCAGAAAGAGCCAGGTTATGAGCACATTCCCTCTTAATGCTCTGCTCTGTGGCAGTTATCTCAGGGGTTAGCATCTGAAATGACAAGTGTTAAATCTTTGCCAATATCAAAGGTTACATCTTCCATAGTCCCTCTGGTAAATACTTGCACAATTAATTTTGTTATCCCTCTGTGATTGGGAGGAAAGGAATCTCCAATAAACAGTTTTTAAAAATGTCTTTACTTTCAATAAAATTACTGAGATGCATTTCCACTTCAATCCTGAGCTGATTTTTTTTACAGTTAGTCATATAAGGTTTGATAGAATTTCGAATTAAAAAATATTACCATCAGTTGGCTGATGGCAACCTGTAGTTATTAGTAGTGCAATTACAGTCATTCTGATTGATTTCAAGAATAGGGTTGAAATGTTGTAGAAAGGTTGCTGGGTTTTCATTTAAAACTTTTTGCCTGTTATTTCTGCAGGTCAAATGTCTCTTGTAAAACAACTTTATAGCTATTACAGTCATAAGCTTGAGTGACTGAGAAATAGGAGGGGGGAAAACACCCCTTGTTGAGAATGAAGAAGGGGAAGGCAGGCAGTGTTTTAGGGAAAGCATTAGTGTCCAGACACATAAAGATTTGGTTGTAGAAATTTGACTAGGTGCTGTGTGTCTGCCTCATGAAGGGAAATAAAGCTGTATGTGTGGGAGTCTCCAAAACACTTGATGTTCTGAGCCCCAAGCAGACCTTACAAGGAATCCATAAGCATAGTAAAACATTTTAATAAAGTGCTTTGCCACTCCTAGGATTTCCTTATAGTGTGTGTTTACGAGGATGCCCCACCATCCTTCCCCAGCACAGAGCTCTGAGGAGTAGGTAGACACATCTGGAATTTGCAGGTCCACTCCATCTTCTGTGCTAAGAAGAATGACACAGTGAAAATAGGCTGTCCCTTTCTGATCTCTCAGGAGGCTTTGGCAGGATGTCCCCCAGTGTGTTCAGGAACAAACTTTGAATCCCTGAGAAGGAAGGCTTCTCACAACCCACCCAGGAAATTTCGGCCTCATCAATATTGTGACAATAATCCTGACCTGTCTTATTTCACCTATCGCCTGCCATTGGCAGATCAGTTTTTAAATGCACCTCAATACATCTGAAGGGTGAAAAAGTGAATGATTCATTTCACAAATCGCTTCTATATCCTGCCAAAATATCATAGAATATAGCTCAGTGCCGCCTTTTCTTTCCAGGAGTGAGTGTGATTTCACTGTTTACTTCTTTCTTAGAAAACAAGTTTGATAAGCACTCTAGGGCAATTGATGTCCCATGTTGGGTTTCCCCACCCGCCGAGGTTTCTTCCTTCTAGGCTCACCATTCCTTCTCATTCACAGCAGGTTTCACCAGCCACACAACAGATGCAGCCAACCCAGACAATACAGCCACCCCAGCCCACAGGGGGGCGTCGGCGGAGGGTGGTGGATGAGGATCCCGATGAGAGGCGGAGAAAATTTCTGGAACGGAACCGGGCAGCTGCCACTCGCTGCAGACAGAAGAGGAAGGTCTGGGTGATGTCACTGGAAAAGAAAGCAGAAGAACTCACCCAGACAAACATGCAACTTCAGGTGCAGGCCACTGTCTCTTTCCTGGGGACTCAAAGGCCCTGTGTACAGCTGGCATTTCCTGCCAAGCAAACACTTGTTGACCTAGGCCTTAATACCCTACCGTATAGCCCCCAGGGCAACTGCAGGCCTCCTCGAGCTTGGCTACTGCCAGGACATTTACAAACAAAACAAACCTTTCAGTGTTCAATCTGTCTACACAGCTCTGAGGAGGGAAAACCTGCCAACTAAGTCTCAGGGCTGGGAGCATAGGCTTTGTTCAGAGGTTCAAACCTTGGCTCAGCAATTACTTCTGTGTTTAATGCCTTCTGCTCTGTTTCCTCATCTATAAAATGGGAGCAATAACCACACAGAGTTATTAGGAGGAATAAGTGAACTAATGTCTACAAAACAATTTGCACAGTGCTTGGCACATAATTTATCTTTAATTAAAGGGCAGTTCTTTATACTCACCAGGTGAGGGGGCCATTATGACTTACACTGGATTTTCTATTATTTGTTTAGTGGAGAAAAGATTTTTGATTGTGATTTTTGCTCTTGAGAAAAGACATGCTTCCATCTAATTTTCCAAAATCGACAAGATTTGAATCTTGCATCAAGACTTATGTTTTTTATAGGTGATTCAGTAGGAACATTTTATAACAAGGTCGTTTCTGGGAGTGAGAAAAGGGGAGGAAAGGCCAGTCTTGTGGCCTCTACAGACTTCACACCATAAAATGATGCAGTTGAAGCCATTTGTTATAACACAAAAAGAAATCCACTACTCACCAGTCAGTGGACAAAAAGCAACTAGATGGATCTGTGATGAACAGTGATAGCAGTAAGTGTGTGGGTTATAGGCAAGAGCTCCCCAGAACAGAGAGAATGGTTAAAAAATGGAGGGTCAGCAGGCGAGAAAATAATAATAATAATGAACAACTATATACCAGAGACATTTTATGGGGGTGGAATGGGGAAGGGGATCCAAAACGGTGGGGGTGGAGGGGGGAGTACACTGGACTATGGTGATGGCAAACGGGTGATTTGGTGATAGGAAGCCATGGGGATTACAACTGAGATAGAAAAAGGCACAAAATTATGTAAAAATAAACTATTATATTATTTTGTTTAAAAAAAAAATGGAGGGTCAGAAGGGAAGATTGCCCCAAGTGGTAGGATCTGCTTCGTCATATTTCATAGACAACCATCCCCTTCCCCTACCTGCAAATCCCTAAAAAGGAACAATTAAAGTGCAGCCCCACCCCCAACCCCAACCCCACCCACCACCAGATCTGTCTGTGCATGTTCAATTCCATTCAGTGGTAATAGCCTTTGGGCACACAGTGTTTAAGTTAAATATTTCAAAGGAATGTTTGGGGTATACATGAGCTGAGCTTTATAATTTAAAGAAGTACACTTTTTCCTCTAAAAGGACCACATTTTGTGATACACATAGAAAAAACTGGGAACATAAGATATGGAGGAAATAATAAAACATGCCTCCCATTAGCATACATCCTTGAGGAAGGTGGGAGCAGTCTCATTACCCTCTGCCCCACCACCTGCCCCCTACCCCCATTTCTAATGCATGTCTGGCATGATTAGCTTCTTGCCCACACTCCATGTGTGTTTGTTGAGGAACAGGGGAGCTCTCTTCTTGGAGTGTCCAAGAACTGGCTTACTGACCAAGTGGCAAGGAAGCAACTGAGCAAATCAAGCCACCAGGGAATGACTTGCTCAGCACATCAACAACATGCCAACTCAAAAGTCTGTCATTCTAGAACCTGGCAGGGACAGTAGTATGTAAGAAACTTCTACATAAAACATAGATAAGTGCTTTGAATATCCATAATTCTCTCTTTTTTTTAATGGGTGTTGAAAACTGCAATTAGACATCAAACCTTTAGTTTCATAGATATTAGTGGTAAGGATGAGACTAAATGATTAAAAATGAGCTCATTTGTACAAATAGGTTAAGTAAATATAAATTCTGGTGTAGGTGGATCTGGCAAATATTATAGTAGTAGATCTGTAATGCACAAAGTATGGGAAGTCCTGGAACATACTACCAAATCTGAGGTCTACAAGACAAACTTGAAAATGTGCAGTTTTCTCAATCCTGGCACTATTGACTTCGGGGCTCAACAATCTTTTGGGTGTCCTGTGCATTGCAAACTACTGAGTACTAGCCTTGACCTCTACCCACTCAATGTCAACAGTGTCATTAGCCTACACCTCATTTGTGACAGCTGAAGTTGTCTCTAGGTTGAAAAGTCTCCAACCAAGGTCCCTGGGGACAAAATCACCCCTGGTTCAGGAGCACTGCCTTAGATGAAGGAGCTATGGAAGGCCAGCTGACACACATCCAATGTCAACAAATTGTAAAATCAGTTTTAACTAAAATGAGTCCTTGCAGAACTACTTGAGAATATTGACCATGGTCCTAAGAAATAGAAATAGAGGGGGGGGTCATTGCAAAGAGCCAGCAAAAGCAAAGATGCCACTGACTTTGAGGTCATCTGCATGTCAGGGCTCATCATGTAATAAAAACTAGGCTTACTTATTACCACTTTTGCAAAATATTGAAGGTAAATTTGTCTTTTACTCAATCTTACTTTGCTAATTTTCACTGTAGAGCCAAAATGGCTAAGGTAGAGAAATAACAGAATCCTTGCTCCTGAAACCCTCAAATAATTCTTAGGAGCCATGCAACAGGTACCATGAATTTTTTGTTGATAAAGTAGTGCCCAAGGGAGGAACAGTTTCTGAAAAGACTGAATTGTTAATATTTTCCAAATACTGCTTGGCTTCAGCAGGACAGAAGCCACAAACACTCGGTGTGCTCTGTGATGCTCAGCACTTCGCTTCATACCTGGTGATACTGAATAGGTGTTACCTCTGATTCTGCTACCTCTGAATGACCCTTTCCCTCTCACTGGACCCTTGTCAAAAGAAAAAGGTGTCTCTCTTGAGGCTGGCCCAGTGAGCCAAATTTAAGTCAACAGAAATGGAAGGTGCTAAGCAAACAAAGTCCAGCCAAACGGAATATCCAAGGTCTGCATGGCCAGCTGCCACTTTTGAGTTGTTTTCCAACATAGACCCTTCTAGCTAGGCTGTAGAGTTTCAGATTGGAAAAACCAGACCTAAGAAAACAAAATCAAACTCCCAGACTTCATTTCCTCGTCTCACAACAAATCTCTACCCAAGAGGTCAACACAGGTATAGGAATTAAGGGAAATATGAAAAATCATCCAATTTGAATTTTTACACAGAAAGAAACTGAGACTCGAGGACATGAGGCATCTTCCCCAAATTCGCACAATCCACAAGAAGAATGAGGACCCACACAATTCCTTTGTCTGAACCCATGTTCTGTGATCGTTCATTCTCAAAGTTTCTAGGTTGAAGGGATTCATGTTATTTTTCTGATAAGAGTGGCTAAGAAAGCCCTAAATCCATCTACATCTGATGTAGTGCTCAGTGGATCATTTGTGTTCAATAGATGCTATGGAAATCATCTGGTCACTCACAGAAATAATTGCTTTTCTTTTTGAGTGCAAAGACACATGGCCTAAGTCGCTGCTGAAATTTTAGACACGCGAGGCCAGGTTTGGGACTTGGCAAGAGAAAAAGCCAGATGGGAACTGTTGTTTGACAAATTGAAAGTTCTTTGTTTTAGAATGAACCAAACCTGGCTTCAACTAATCTACACACATGCACGAAAGTGTGTATAGTGGGGGAGGGACTCTTATATTGTAGGGCCCATTTTGATAATTATTTTTTTGGCAGAGACTGCTGCTTACATCAAAAAGCATTCTAGGTTTATCATATAACAAAATGACATCTCCAAAGCCAAAAACTGCAAATGTAGCTATTAGGGACTTCTTGGACTGTTTGTTTAAAGTATGTTATTGTAGTATTGAATGTCTCTACAGAGGTGCTGCCTCAGCCCAAGGAAAACTTGTGAGCTTAGAAACAGATCTATATAACTATATCTACCCTCTTACAGTCCCTATTGAAATGGCTAACTACTTCAGAGTAGCAAACCCAAACTAGTTTGGAAAAACAAAAAGACTAAGGGCTGATCCAGCAAGAGAATCAATTAAAGTGCTTTTATATGAAGGCCTAGAATTATTATTATAACATACCCAAGGGAGTTTAAAAAATTGTAATTTGCTTCAATTCATAAAATAAGGTAATTCAGAGTAAGAAAATGCCCCTAAAAGTCCTGGGATTTATTTCCCTATTAGAACTGCAGGCCACATTTGATTTCTTTCATTTTGAAACATTTGCTATCTGGTTGTTCTCTTCCAAAATGATTCTACTTAGGTTACCTTGAAAAGGATTTATAATGAAAATACAGTTTTGTGTTTGTGTGTGTGTTTCCTACATCAATCAGCTTATCAATATGGAATCTTTAAAATGATTATGTATGTACATTGCATGCCGATTCGCTCCAGTTTCTCTTGGGCAGATTCTTAACCTTTCTTAAGCCAAAGGCTCCCTTATGGGACCTGATGAAGGCTCTCTAGGCTCTCTCAACAGTATGAATCACAAATATTGTGCTAAAATGGAAATGATACACATGACTTTGGATTCTACTTTGAAAAGATTTGGTAGCATAGAACTGGCTCCCTGTGTAAATATAAGCATCTTTGAAAATTCCAAAAATGTTAATTAATGCATAAAAATTAAGATTGAGTCCTTCCTCAGAGAAGTACTTTACTTCTGTTTCATCCTTATCTGCATTATAGTTATGTATATATGATTTAAACAAGAGGTTGATTGTTTTCCCCTATGGCACTAATTTTTCAATCATAACTTAGCTAAATTATATAATTATTAGCACATTAAGAAGTGTGTCCATATTCACAATTGCTTTATAATGATGGTCTGTTGTCATAGCTTCTAAATTTTTTTAAATTTACTTTTTATTCATGTTCTGTCATCATTGTGTAGCCCCATATTTCTCCCACCACAATATAATCTGTGAACCATCACCATAGTCCCTTGTTGTTTACCTCAAGTGTACAGTCAGCTTGCAAGTTTTGTCTTTTTTCCTGACCACTTGTTCAGTTTTCCTGTGTTCCATCTATAAGTGAAACTATTTGATATTTTTCTTTCTCCTTCTGGCTTATTTCACTGAGTATAATACTTTCCAGCTCCATCCTATTACTGCAGATGGCCTGCATTTATCTTTTTGATTGCTGAGTAATATTCCATTGTATGTATATACCACACCTCTGTGAGACCTTGCCAGTACCAGGTCAGTCTGGTGAGAAGTGGAACACCCCTGGGAAGAACATAGTTTCGACATAGAAAAGGTGGATAGGTTTAAAATTTTTTATTTTCCAAGACTCAGAGCATCAGTTCTAAACTGGTATGTTAAGAAAACACTTTGCTATCCACAGTGGCCACTGATACCACTTTGTGTCAAGCTTTTGTTCTAGCACCACACCACACACATCATGATTATTGATGCTATTTTATTTTGGCCTCTCATTTAAGCATTACGTTTATTATGAAATGATTTGGGGGTATGCCAAGTATTATAGGCAGCTCCTGTAGAAACCCAGAGAAGGCTCTCCCTGGTGGCACAATGGGTTAAAGCGCAGTACTGAAGAGCTGCAGCCGCTTCAGTGTGAGTTCCATGAGTTCAATCCCCAGCCCCAGGGGTGATCCACATGTCCTGGCAGACTTCTACTAACCACCCCCCGCCCCTTACTCCCCTCAGTTGTGTCAATCTGCCTATTCTGCTCCCCACTCTCTCTGGTAAATCCTCTCACCACCCCTGTACCTCTGGCCTGCAACCCAGTTCTGTATGCATAAATAAATAAAATCTTAAAAAAGAAAGAAAGAAAAAAAGAAACCTAGAGAATATATTCCAAGTGTTTCTTAAGGAAGGAGCAGTGACTCTTTTGTGCCTGGGAGTCAAGCACTGCCTAGAAAAGAGTGTTTGTTTCAAGACCAAGTGCGACAAGAAATGCAGATTAAAAGCAGCTTCTCCAAGGTGGCCCCCAGAAGTAGAAAAAAATGTAACTTTGTTTGAAAAAATTTCCTTGTTTATTTCCTAGATGCATTTTTTTAAGGCCCATTTTCTGCGGTTTCTACAGACTCTTTAGGTGGCTGGTGCTGCACAGTTATGACTTCGGAAAGGAAAGGTGTCATTTCTATATTCCAAATGCAGATCAAATGATAATGTGACATATCATCCTGAGGACAAAAAAATTTACACATCTTAGTTTTATTTTTCTACCTTTTTGGTTTGTTTTTGTTTGTTTTGCTTTTAACTGGATATTGCCTTTTATATCATGGTCTAATAGTGACTTTGTTTTAATCATGTTATTTTAAACAGCTAGCGAGCTGGGGAAAACAAGGGAGGCTATCTGAGCTTAAGTGGGCATAAAGTCAAAGAGGAAAGAGTGTTTATTGCTAAATAAATTATCCTATAAATAAAGTTGTCCAATTGTCCTTGATTAACAAAGATTACTTTAGCTTTGACAGAGTCCCTTATTGATCACACTTATTTGAAGGCAGGAGATGTGATGCTCTTTCCTGAAGGCTCTCATATTTAAGCACAATTTTCCTTTGTAATTAAGTGATTTAGTCATCATTAATGCTAATATCTCAGGTAGGCATTTTTATTTTGTAGTTTATTTCATCTGGAGGAAAAAGAAAACATTTTGCAGATGAGATTTTAATTATTTTGTATGTAACTCAACATGTGGTTCCTTATAATGTATTTTACAAATGAATTTGGAAATGAGAAGTATTCTGTGAAACAGGTTTCCAAAAAAAAAAATTTTTTTAAATAACTCCTAGAATCCCAAACTTACTTTCCTAGGTGATACATACATGCCTGAAAGGCCAAGTTCATATAGAAAGTGTAGCTGCACTTAGTGACAGCAGTTTTAAAATGTCCTTTTCTATATGCACGCTGTTTAAGCCTCCAACTTGTGGAATATAATGCCTGGCAGCCACAAATGAACACTAACCAGAGGAGGAATGTATTTCAAACAACTGCAAGTTGGCTTATTTGAGATAGTTCTAGGTTTACAGTTTACTTTTATCAAGTGGAAGCATTTGAACCCAACCATCTAGTCTACATTTACACTGGTAAGCAAGGGTGTCAAGTACATTATTTCACAAAACTGTGAACCTGTATTTGTGAATTGTACAGAAAGTGGAGGTTGAGGGCATTAATTCTTAAGTCAATAGGAAAACATAAGCTCTTGATATTGGGGAAGAAAGAGTTTATAAACTGAACTTAGCCTGACTAATTAGTGAACCAGTCAAATTAATTCATTCCACCCTAAACTTCATTGTCCTTTGTCTCCCTGATCGACTTATCCCACCTGTAGAGGATAATAATTGCTCCACAGGTTTCCATGCCTCCTGCTAAGTGGACACCTTGCAGAAAAAAGTGCTCTGCTGACTTATAGCTCACTTGGCACTTGTTTGGGGAAAATCTGATGTTAAACCAGTCATTTCAGTTAGAAGTTGCTAATCCTACCACACAAGTCTTCCCAATCCAAATACCTTGCATAAGTCACCTTCTCTTCGTACTGAATGTCAACTGAGCTTGTAAGACAGTTTGCAGGTGATCACCATGATAGCTACATTTATTGAGCACTTAGTATATGTTAGGCATTGGTCTGAGAGTTTTTCACTTAATCCTCACAACAGCCATATATCTTAGCACTAGTTTTATCCTCATGAACAAGGTTCATAGGTTATGAAATCTGTCTGGAAGCAGTAACTGCAGAGTGGGGTTCCTATCCCAGTAACCCAGCTCAACTTTTTTTTTTCTCAAAAGATTTATTTCTTCATACAGAACTGGGGTACAGGCCAGAGGTGCAGGGGCAGTGAGAGGATTCATCAGAGACAGAATGGAGAAAAGAACAGGCAGACTGATGAAGTACACTGCTGAGGAGAGCAGCAGGCAGGTCAGGAGAGATCTGCCATGCCATGTGGATCACCTCCATGAGCAGGGATCAAACTCACACTGAAGCGGCTGCCACTAGCTTACAGTGCTGTGTCCTAACCTGTTGCCCTACCAGAGAGGGCCTCTACAGTTCAACTTAAGGGTGTGATCTGGGCTTTTAGTAGGATTCAGCTCTTGAGTTAAAATCTGGTCTCTGTAGAAAGCCCCTGGTAAATGTGAGGGCCAAACTGAGAGCCTGTTACAAATGTTCAAGTGAACCTGATTAATATTCTTAGTATCATTCAGACATAATACAAAAAGAAAGTTTGTTCATGTCATTGTTCAAAGTGCCTGTGTCTGTGGGTTGATCTTCTCAACATAACTTTGATATGTCTTTTTCCAGAATGAAGTGTCTATGTTGAAAAATGAGGTGGCACAGCTGAAACAATTGTTGTTAACACATAAAGACTGTCCAATAACAGCCATGCAGAAAGAATCACAAGGATATCTAAGTAAGTCACTGACCTTTTGCTTTTTTAGCTCCTAAATTGCTACTAATTTTACATTGGATTTTATTGAAAGGGCAGACATAAAATACAGATTGCACACCTACGCAGCTCTCATAATAGTATTCTTGAGTGACTGCCAGACTGTTGCACTAGGAGGTATCCTTCCTTTCTGACCCCTGCCCACTACCATCCCCACCACCACCTCCTGATAAGTTTCTAGCTGGTCTTACCTTGGAATTCCACATTGTAAAATGCTGCCAAATTCCAATTCTGAAGCCAGTAAAAAATGGACTGCTGGAACCCAATTACCAGGGGGTAGCAGTCTTCTAAAGAACTCCATGGGCTTGCAACAGATACTGGCAACTCCCATCCCCATCCAGTACTTCGTTATTATGCTGCATGTGATTCATGGGACATTGTCTTGTTTTACCAGTGTGTAAAGTAGATCCTTTTTGTAGATTCCCATTTCTGTAGCCAAAATGTCAACAGATTAAATGCTAGTTGAGTAGGGGATGGTGGGAGGAACTGAGATTCATGGCTGAAGGTCAATTTATTTTCAAATAATTTTTTAGATTGAGCAACCCAGATTCTCCCACCACATGTGAGTATTTTTCCACATTTGATATATGGATGGCTATTTGAAAATACAAGTTGGGGACATTCACATACCAAGACTCCAGCACATCAAATCATTTTACTGATATAGAAAGCATGGCTTTGCTTGTAGCTATAAACCGGGAAGGCATAGCTCTGTGACAACAGTTTAAAACATTTTAAAATTAACCTCTAGGAGGAAATTTACTATTTTTAGTCAATGTCTAGGAATATTTTTCTGAGTGGTCCACATGTCCACCCAAGAAAGCTATATTGGTGTGTGTGTGTGCTTTTTTCCCTAGGTCCAGAGAGTAGCCCACCTGCAAGCCCCGTCCCTGCTTGCTCTCAGCAGCAAGTCATCCAGCATAACACCATCACTACTTCCTCGGCAGTCAGCGAGGTGGTAGGAAGCTCCACCCTCAGTCAGCTTACCACCCACAGAACAGACCTGAATCCAATTCTTTAAAATCCACGGGTCAGACATTGCCTCCAAGAAGAGCAGTCGCGTACCATGCGTCCTTTCTTGTAAGGGCATTTTTAGAATTAACTCAGATCTGGAAGACTCCTCAGCCCTTCAAAGACTGGCTTTCATTTTTATAGTTATTATGGAAATGTTGTCTTTTATACTTGGTTATATAAGAAAAAAGGGAGTTATGCAATTAATAGCTATCAGCTTGGGAAATGCTTTGGTGCTTTTCTCCAATTTTCTGGTACCACTTACTTGTTTATAAACTGAACTTTCTGTATATAGTCATGGTTTCATTCTTATCAGTCCAACCCTTTGCCTGAAACATTGTTAAACCGCAGCTTATAGCCAAAATGAGGCATACCTAGATGTCAAGTAAACAGATCCGAGGTAACGGGGTGAGAAATTGTAGGCATCCTAACACATGTTGAGTGTGTGCTGTGATGTCACCAGAATCCCAGATAAATGCAGAGCCTTACCCCCTCTCCTTATAAAATAGTGTAAGATCCACTCATGTCCAAATAGAACCACCAAACATCTCGCCACCTCTCCTCCTCCTCTAAGACCACCTTCTCATCCAGCTTTCCTCTCCATTTCTTCTTTGTCTTGGACTCACTGTTTACTCTTCAGTAGACCTTTCCTTTGTTTTGTTTTCCCCCATTAGCATTGCATGTCAAGAAGAAAATAATGTTTAGTGAGAAAAAAAAAGCAAACCTCAAAAATGCAGACCTAGCCATTGCTTCCCTTGCCTGTGACCAACAGCTGGAGTTCATTCAATGCTTGCTTTTTATAAAATAGTAACCAGGAGAAGCTTAATGTGCCTGATTTAATGTTTTTAATATCAGAGCAAATAAAAGGTGGCTTAGACATAGGTGAAGCGCTGTTGAATGCCAGCTACAGGGACACTAGGAAAGAGAGCTTTGTAAGCCTCAATTGTGAAAGCCCAAATTATTATTGGGGGGCTCTAACGTCACACCCTCAAATTACAACTGGTTTTATATGGCTTGTCTGTAATGTTGAAAATCCATGTACTCTATAATAATTCAGAAGGGCTCTATTCACTACACAGATTACGTTGTTCAATCATCAGCTGCTAATAGCCTAAGATTTACTGGTATTTTTTTTTTTAAGCCTATGGAACTGGCTTTGCTGTTCTGGTGGGTGAAAGCAGACTTGAGGAACAAAGAGAGAAAGAAAATCTAATGTTTCCATAGGTTTGCTTTTTAGCTCTCCCACAACAGTTAAAGTACTCTGGCTGCTGAACAAACCCCATGGATATGGCTACCCCACTCTGCTGAACAACTCTGATTTATATTTTCAACAACTGACATGGACTTGCCCATTGAAAAAAGCAGAGTCCTGAACCACAGTTGTGCCTCCTTGAAACAAGCCATCCTACTGTGCTAATGTTTGAATATTGCATCTCACAATACCAGGAGCACGATTTCCACTCACATTCTAGACAGGTGCTGGTGTTTTCATCTCCATTCGAATGCCTGACCTCCTAAGTGTGCGTGTCTGTGTGTGTGCATCTTCAGGAGATTTAAAAGAATAGTATTTTACAAAAGTGTGGCTTTTATAAAAATTCAAAAAGGGAAAGATGTGTGTGTGTGTGTTGTTGTTGTTGTTGTTGTTTTCCCTCTCACAATAGTAAAAGAATCTATTTTGGAGAAAAAAAAGAAAATATGGTCATGAAGCCTGAGTTTTGTTATTAGATTTCTATCTGATAACTTACTTTGTAAATCAATATTTATCAACAATTTTTCCACCTATGCAGTACTTTCAAAAGAAGGTTTTGAGTGTTCAACAGTGAAACTCATGACTAGGATATATGCTGTAAAGATCAAACAAAGCAAAAGAAAAGAGAAAAAATCAAGTAAAAAGGGTTTTCTATTATATTTTAGGCAAACATCATTTTTAAGTATTTTTAATATGCAATTCGTGGTTTGTTTTTTTTTTTTTTAATCCTAGCCATAACAGCTGTTTTAACCTGTCTTCCTAAGAAATGTTTAAGACTGTGCTAAAAAAAAGACATTAGCATCATCTCTATTTTGAAATAAAATCTAATTTTTCAAAATTCCTTCTTAGGACTATCCATGTGTCCCTCTACAGACAGGGAAAGAAAGAGCTCTTTGAAATGTTTGTTTGGTTGGAATCCAGAATATTTTTATTTCTTAATTTTATTTTTGTTTTGTTTCAAATAAAAAAATTTCTTTTTTACTGCATGCATAGCACTTAGTGATAAGGATTTTTTAAAAATCCACTGATAATATCAGAATGTCCAGGGAGTAGGCTATCACTAAAATGATGGTTTACTTCTGATCCTCCTCTTGATTAAAATATTTAGTTGTTAAACTGAACGCCTTTGCAGTTAAAAACTTGCCTGAGTTTTAATTCAGCAACTTGACAGTTTGACTGATGTGCATTATATATAGCTCAATTATGTCTGTTTTTTATGCTAAGTAGGCAAACCAACCACCATGCAAGATAACAAATGGGCCTCAACGTATAATTAGAATAAACTGTCTTCTTGTTATACTCAGGGCCTTTAGGTATGTTCATTAGCAGTGTGGAAATAGTCAGTGCAAGATGCCAACAAGCCTTCATGCTTCTAGAGATCCCGAAGAAAGACTCATTGGTCAAATCCAACGCTGGTCAGTATGAAGCATTTCACTGGCAGGCCTAGCCTTTGCCAAACAATAAGGTGAATTAATCAGTTAACCTGCCTTCTTGCTCTACACACTTTTTTTGCCAATCTGGGAAAACATCTTGTCACCCCAAACTCCTCTCCTCCTCAGTGACTGGGTCTCTGATCCCCATTTGCATGAATCTGTCTAATGGCCCCAGAGCACTGCCTGGAGGGATGATCCTTGCAGGCACTGCCTCTCTTCACTTGCAAACGGTGTTACTTCAGCAGAATCTGCCTCTGAAATCACTACCAGCCCATCTAGAAACTTTCATTGCGCCTCCTCTGCCTATGTACCTGCACTAGATAAGTGCACCTGATGGTGTTTCTAACTAGGTGACTCCTCACCTCAATCGAGGCATCCATATCTTGATCAATTCTCCTAAATATATGTTTCCCTTTGGGGCAGGGGTAGTGAAATTCTAACTAGGGATGAATGTGCTCATTTTGAAACCCAGTGTTAAGACCAATGTTTCCCTTTCACACTCTTGCTCACCCCTGTCCTACCTCCAAGTCAGTGTATGCAATTCACAGTCTTAACGGGGCCTGAGGGAGCAAGGCAGTTTGTGTGCCACTGCTGGTGTGATTATTAGGTTGGCTGACTGGGAGCAAATGCTCCTTGAGCCTATTAGAGCAAAACTGACTCCTGACCAGAGGCATGTCGGTGGTAAAGTTCAGATGGTTGGTGCCTGTTAATGAAATCAATTTTGTGTGTTAGTTGAGTTTGTCATTAAAATCATAAACCAGCTTAGGTAAAAGATCAGCCTTGACTGGGGGGTTTTAAGCATCAGTAACTGCTATAAACCTAGCCATCCAGTGAGCACAGAATGTGCTTCTTTCTGGTTAAAACCATCTAAGAAAATGTGTGTGTGTGTGTGTGTGTGTGTGTGTGTGTGTGTGTGTACAGTGGAATTTCAAGGACCAAAGCAAAATTTGAACAGGAATCTATTGATTTAGAATGTTATAAGATATTTATTAATAAATGTTATTTTTAAGCATTCCATTTGAACAGTATTCTTCTATAGGAGCTACTTGTTTTTAAAGTATTAGTTCATAATAAACTGCTCTAGTTGTATGTATCTTCTTTTCAGGGTTTCATATGGCTATTCTCCATCATGTGGTGGAAATATTTGCTTAAATCTCTGTGCATAGAAATTTTAAGGATTTTTATTGCTCTGTGAGTTATTTTTTAATCTGTGTTCCAAGCGTTTTTTTTTCTTTTCTTTTTACATTTCTTTTTTCTCATTTTGAAAGTAGGTCTTACCTTTTAGGAAACAGAGTTTTGCTAAAGGGGATCACTATCTGTAACTGGAACAGCTTTCTTAGAAAAATGTAAAAACTTCCTCTCTGCTTCTCCCTACCCCACCCCAATTTCCTAGGTTGCCTTGCACTAATCAGCCTCCTTAGTGCTCTTTTTGTCCCTTCCCGAACAATGTGCAGTAGCTTTAAGCCATTCAAGCTCCATTATGCAGTATAACTGAGAAGGGAAAGGAAACAACTCATTTAAATTTGAATAAAACTGTGCCTAAGCCAACAGTAGCAACTTTAGACTCTCTTTTCTGCATTTAAAGTAATTTATATTTTTAAATTGCACTTTAGCTTTTTTGATCCCTTTCTATTTCTCTTGTTCTTTCTGGAACCTCCTCCCTGTCCTCAAACTTGCCTTCGCTCTGGACCCTCACCAATCCTCCCAACTCCCCTCTAAGGCTCTGAGCTGCATTATTAAAAATACTTTCACTGAATATTCGCACCAGGTACTTTTGTGTGCATTCATTAGTAGCATAATGAAGACATGTTTTTCACATCAGCCTAGGTGAAGCCTGCTACGAGAATGCCAAGGAGAAGAGCCAGTTTATACTCTTTATCCCTGTATTCATAGCATGTTTTTTAAATGTTATATTATGCAACAGATGTGAGGCAGCAGCTAAGCTACACTTAAGAATTTTCTATCTCATCTTCCAAACCAAAGTGTCCTGATTGAGCCAGGAGACTTCTTTCGTGCATTGTGGTGCACTCAGACTCTTGGCCTAGCCATGGTCTCTCTGAGGCTGCTGAAGTCACAGCAGCCCTATCTAGTTCATTCCTGGGTCTCAAAAATACAATGTTGCCTTGTAAGGTTATTAGGGACAGCACCTCTATTGTACAATTATAATCTAAAGACAAAAAGACACAGAAGCAATAAACTTACAAATAAAACCCAATTCCAAAACAAAGAAGTAAAAAGGAAAAAAAAATCCTAGCTCATCATGTTGTGAAAATTAAAAAGATGTCCATTCAAAATATTTTATTATTCCTTGTGGAATTTTTCTGTGATGTAATGCTTGTAACCAAATTGCTTAAAGAGTGTTTATATATTTTTCCTTGTAAATTGTCTATTTTTAAAAAAAAAAAGAAAACAAAACAAAACTATTTAATTGCAAGTTGAAGAGGAGAGTAAGGCCAAATTGCCAGCATTTATTAAAAGAGTAATATTCTTAAGTGGCACACTATACCTTTCTAAGCTTACCATCAGAAGAGAATCAATTATCAACTGTTATATTTAAACCAGAGTTCATTGGAAGTCAAGATTCAGAAAGCTCTTCTTAAGCCATTTTAACATTTTCTTACATTGAGTTTCATATGATAGAACTTTATAGGATTTTTTTAAACAACATTTTAGCCTCAGAACTAAGAATGTGGACTCTGAATAAATTAGCTTTAAAGCTGTCATTAAAATTGTATGCACAATAAACTCACTAGATTTTGGCTTGCTTTTAGAATACCAATGTTATTGACAAGAGAGAAGATAATGAAAGGTATTATCAGTGCTCAACTGGAGGGGGTTTCAGAGAAAGAGCCCTTCCCCACCAGCCAGTATAAAAGAAGACCTACTCACCCTCTTTCCTTCTAAGTTCTGCTAAATCACCTCTGCCTCATTGAGAGAGGAGTTCTGCCTTTAAGGATTGTCTTGGAGAAAAGATAAGCTTGAAATGTTCTCCCTGGAGAGGACATGGGGTTTGGGATCTTATAAAAAGACCCAGGAAAAAAAAAAAAGACTCCTTTCAAACACAATGTTCTAGGACAATTGGAATATAAAGATTGTCCAAAAATAGAATTAAAAGAAAAAAGTTTAGCACTGTGTAAAGTGTTAATTATGAAGTCCCCCCCAGAAAAGGTGCTGTCACTTTAAGTTCTGGACTTTGGTGGGAGGGGGGATTGTTTGTAATTGTAAACAGCAAAGCATTTGTGTTTGTTTGTCTATTTGTAAAGCAACCACCTTCCTATTGGAAGGAGAAAAAAATTGGGGTACATACATGTAAATACTTGCTGCAGCATTTAATATGTTTAATTTTATGTTAAGCTTTTTGTTGCGTTGTGAACACATTTATTGTTACCAATGGACAAAGCGTTCATTAAGACTGTTCAACTAGGTCAGATTTTTACATCTCTTTCTAGCAAGAAGAGACAAGATTTTGTGCATTTGTACAAATGTTAATATCACTGCAATTCCAATATAATAAAGCACTCAAATGCAAATAACATATGAACCCTTTGTATGATGAATTATGGGTTTGGGACTAACAGTATCTATTCTGCACACATTCCTAGTCATGCTTGTAAGCCAAGGTTACTCTTTTAGGACCACTACTATCTAGCAAAAAAGGAGGTGAGATGTTCTGCTTCTAGCTGATTTTAACAATCAAAAAATGCAGCCAACATTAAGCATAACCAGAGTCACATGCTGCCTACTCAGGCAGTCAGGTCCTGGAATTCTTTGCTTAACCCCCAGAGAAGTCCTAAGGGCAAACTTAGATGTACTTTACTAGACATCTTCCTGCTTCCTCTTTATTTGTTTATTTTTTTCTTAGTCACTATTCTTTCTTACACTTAATATCTATTCCATCAACAAGGCTAGAATCCAGCCATAATTTATCACCAATTTTACCACTATAGCTCTGTCCAAAATACACATCTCTCACCTGGACTACTGCAATATTCTTTAACTGGTAGCCAGAAGGAACCTTTGAAAATAGAAGTGAAGGGCCTCTGTGGTGGCACAGGAGGTTAAAGTCTTAACACTGTCAAGCTATTGCCAGCCACTGCAGCATGAGTTCAACCCCCAGCAAGGGAGCTGACCCACATGGCACAGCAGACCTTTCCTGTCTTGCCCACTGCTCCCCTCAGCAGTGTATTTGAGTAGATCCACCTGTTCTGC